TGAACAGCAAGTCGCAGAACCAAAAAGCTTTGCATATTCGACATAGACGGTGAGTTTTAGACGATGAAGAAAATTTCCGCGAATAGACTCTGCAGACGTCTTTGGCCATGCGTATCAAAAGATGCTCGATGAAGTATTTACATCGTCTATCTTCAACTTCTTACTTATTCTATCCTTAGCTCTTTTGATCCAATTCCAATGCTTTTCTTATCCAGGTTCAAGATAACTTGGCTGCAGATCAGTCAGGATTATTGTCCAACCAAAAAAACTATTTGCTATTACTTTTCCATCAGTTTGTACTTTGACTATTGTGCATTATTTAACAGAATATTAAGTGTTTATTCGGCATTACTTTTGGCCTGAAATCCTTACAAAGGTTGCAAACGTACGCACAAAAACAACAGAAACAAAAGAAAAACATGGTTATAGAGAACATATTAAACACCACGAGATTAAACACCACGAGATTAAACACCACGAGATTAAACACCACGAGATTAAACACCACGAGATTAAACACCACGAGATTAAACACCACGAGATTAAACACCACACAAAATTTACAAAATAAACATAAAATCTAGCGGTAAAATAGATCACTCATGCGGCTAAATTGAAAGCTTATTAACACTTATTTGTATAGAGAAAGAACATCGAGGATTTGCCAATATTTATTCTGAAAATTACAATGATGTGGCCTATCAATTATGTATCTACATGGACAAATATTCCTGCAAGTTGACGGAGACTTATTTACAGCAATTATAACGCACTACATTTAGCTCAGAATCAGGTAAAATATTAAATAGTTTGTCCTACTAATGACATGAAATCCCTGCTACCTACCTTAGGAATTTCATACAACGTATCTAACACACTCAGTAATTTTTCAACTGAACGAAACATGTCTATGTCCTGGAATTAAAAAAAACAAAAAACAAGCCACACTCCAATTCATTCAAGAGTGAAGATCAATGAATTTATCACCAAATGGATGAATTGCAGTCAAAAGCCAATAACGACGTCTGGGTCTGATAAAATGGTTTGCTGCGTTGGAAATGGAACAATTGTCCTATGACCGACCTCATGGTTCCATCCAAAAAGTCTTTATGAAACTCTCCGCAGATTTCTTGGGCGTTGATGGCAATAGCCGAACTAGGGTCGGTACTCGGAGAGTGATAATCATGCTAAAGCATCCGCCAAATGTTTTTGGAAAAACCTTTCATTTTCAGAAGATTTTTTTTTATTTGTTTGGGAAGAGTAAGAAACTGAGGCACAATCAAGTACCGAAGCGTTGGCTAACACATCTACCAGACGTATGAGTTGATAATTATACTCGTTTCAAGCTCAGAATAGTGTAAAAAAAAAGAATCAAGATCGACATATTTTCGGTAAACAAAAAAAAACAAAAAAACAAAATGTATATATACGTCTAAGCCGGGAACCGGTTAATGTAATAAGTTTGTTCTACAAAAGGAAACACTTAACTTGGCCTGTTCTAGTCATTGGCTCGGTGGATAGGAATCGGTCTCTAGAAAATAGTCTTTTTAATCATCAATGATTCATTCAAAAATACATCATATTATTAAATTCATTTCGGTCGAAGATCATTACCGACAATTTAGTAAAATTAATTCGAATATTTCTCCTTGTGTGCTGTCAGGCGAGACACAAATGGACGCTCGAGACGGAAATGATGCATTCAAAGCAGTACTAGTCATCTGCTTAGGAATTTTTTTTAAACGAAAGTTCCAGTCGAGAAATTAATAGATGCTTTCAAGTCCCCACTTTTTTTTGTTCAACTTTCACTTAACATTAAGCACGCCTTCTAAAAATGTGAAAATTGAAAAAAGAATGCATAGTTACATACACACACATATATATATATCATATATATATATATATTAGTTTTTACAAGCCGCATTGACGGAAAACTTACCAGTACAAAAGAATTCTCTTATTACTATATTTGTACAAAAACGCACAACCTTAAAATTTAAAATTCAAAGTCAGCGTTGCGACGGCACGTTCCAAAATAATAACATATTTCTCAGCATTTTTTTCGTTGTCCTCTTATTATCGAGAAGTAAAAAAACAAGAACAAATCTATTTCCATACCTGAGGATGTCTGTAGTAACAGACAAAAGCTTGTAAAAACTAAAAAAGACCTTATGAAACTGGAATTTATAAACAGGGATCATATCATTCATATACAGGTTCGGGGTTAGTGTAACTTATTGAAATTGTTTGCAAAGATGTATTCTCGCCATTTAAATCATATCTATATTTGTTTTTGTATAAATGATTCATGTAATTATAAGTTAAACAGCACCTATAATCGAAATATATATATATATATATATATATATATATATATATATATATTATATAGAGATAGGGAAAGAGAAAGAGAGAGAATCTTAGAGGGAAGAGAAAGAGAGAGAGAAAGAGAGAGAAGAGAAAAAGAAAGAGAAAGGAAAGAGAGGGAGTAAAGAGAGAAAGAAATAGAAAGAAAGATAAAGAGAGAGAGATAGAATAAAGAGAATTCCAAATCGAAAGAGAGAGAGAAATCCAGGGAAAGAGAAAGGATGTCTAGTCAAGAAAGAGAGATGAGAAAGAGAGGAAATGTGAAACTAAGGGAAAGAGAGAGAGGGAAAGATCCAGCTTTAAGAGAGAGGGAAAGAGAAAGAGAGGGAAAGAGAAAGAGAAATAAGAACATACCAGAGAGAGAATAGGGAACTCTCTGAAAGAGAAAGAGAGGGCTCAAAGAAAGAGATGTCTTCAAAGAGAAAGAAAGAGAAAGAGAGAGAAAAGAGAAAGAGAGAGAGAAAAAGAGGGAAAGATTGGGAGAAAGAAAGAACCTTGAAAGAAAAAGAGGGAAAGTAAAGAGAGAGAAAGAGAGGGAAAGAGAGAAGAAAGATAGGGAAAAGAGAGAGAAAGAGAAGGGATATATATAGAAGAGAAAAGAAAGGGTGAGAGAGAGAAAAAAAAAAAGAAAAAAGAAAAGAAAGGAAAGAAAGAGAAAGAAAAGGAAAGAGAAAGAGAAAGACTGAAAAAAATTAGTGGAGAAAGAGATCCAGAAAGAAAGAAAATCAAAAGAAAAGAAAGAGAAAAATTTGAGAAAGATGGTAATTTTGAAAGACATAAAAGAGCAAATTTCTAATAGAGATCAGACGATCTAATGAAAGACTCTCTGAGAAATCTTAAAAAGAAGAGAATCTAAAACGAGAAGAGGACAAAAGAACGAGAGGTTCTTGAATTTCAAAACGTAATTTTTAACATCTGGTTTGGACGTTCGAAGGGGATTTTCGTTTACGATAAAAAGCCTGAACCCGTCTAGGCGGGTTCAAAAAAGCTATATTTTGCATTTAGCCTACGGATACGCTCAAAGATACCTACATTAAACCGGCCTTGTGCCATATTCAATCAAAAAAGGTGGGTTTGATAAATAGAATGAGAGAGAGAGAGATGGTCCAAAAACTTGCACCCACCACCAGAAAGTAATGAGAACGATAGAACAATACATTAATACAATTCCCATGTACCGGATTCAGTTTTATTTACTTTCATTGACGCTGTCACACATGGAAAAGGTCAGAATGTACACCATCATTTTCGTAGCACAAAATGATGCGGCGCCATGTCCTGTGCGATATTTTACGAAGCTGTGCTTTGTTGATTGTTACAAACGCTCTCCAAACGGCGTCCTTCAACTGATGGGTATTCTGGTATCGTTCATGTGAAACTCTACTTGATAATACCCACCCAACAGAACGTTGAAATAGGAAATTATATATGCGTGATAAGTATTCCAGACCACTTTGTACATTTGTTCAACCAACTTGCGTCAGATAATGTCTTTCAAAATTTAAGTACAATTTCAATGTCTGACTGCTTCAGCACACGTCTGATATTATCTAAATTTCCCATTAAGAAATTAGTCTTATAGTAAACAGTACTGGAAAATGCTGATAATGCCATAGGCAGTGCATCTGAGACACGAGTACGTTTTAGCGATAAAACGAGACAGTGAAAATATTTCAAACATATGAGGAAAGAAAACTTGGAGAACTAGATACTAACAGGGCATCTTGAAAATAAGAGACGCCAGAGGAAACATCATGTAACCAACGTAATTAGGCTGAGTATTTGCTCAGTTTAATTAAGGAAATTGACCATAATGATGAATAGAGGTGAATTTCTGAGGAAAACCAAAACAGATTTCGCCAAAGGACATATAAATGATTTCTGAAGTGGAGATGATATGACGTTTTATATGAGCGGGAAATTCCTTTCATGGTGACAAACTAACTACTGACATTAAGCTTTCAATTGTGAATATATCATCGAGACAAAAATAATGGATTTAACTTTTTACCTTATAGTTTCCTCAATTCAAGGCCGAAGAGACATTCAATATAGAGGGTTGCTGTTTAAGATTTTATGGACCACAGAGGATAGGATAGGAAATGCATCTGATGGGGATAATTAAAATAGATAATGGCTGACTTTACACATGAAGAGGTTAACCCATGACCTGCACAATGACGGGTTTTAGCTTTGAAGTAGTGTAGCCGTCAGAACATTTTTCTTAGGAATAGAAAAAGGCTTGCGATGTTTTGTCTCTGTGTAAGAGGTTGTAAGATTCCATCACCCGCAAGCCGCATAAAAGCTTTTGAACTAGTTGGAAAGAGAGGATTAGATAAGTCCAGCTCAGATATGACAGAAATATTACATTTTGGGCTGATTTGATTCTTGTAAAGTTACGACATAGCAGGTATAATCTGGTACTTTCTGAAGCAATGTAAAGGGACGACGATTTCTCCCAATCATTTCTTATTTTTCAGTCAATCCAGAAAATAAAATAAAAGGTAGATGCACATCTTTCCCAAGGATATTTGCGCGTAAGTGAATATAAGGAACTCAACAGCAATTGGAACTCGGCTCTCCGATTAACAATTCCGAACCAATATCCATTAAACCACCCACACACCCAAGCTTATAGCACCAGCTATTTCCAAGCGGTCACGCATCTAGATACTGACCAGGTTCAACTTGGCTTAACATCAGTTATCGTACGAGAGCGGGTGCTTCTATGTGATGTGGCCATAAGCAAAGCATATGGAGCAGTCTTTACACATAACTATTTAAAATAATTTCCCCGAAGAGAAACAGTTTCCTAAATACAATTTTTTTTAAAATCAAAATTTGGAGGAATCTAGAAAAAAAGAATGTTCCATCTCTTGGGGTCAGCTGACAAGCGATATCACCGACATGGTGTCACGACCACAATCTCAGTCAATATAGGAACCACAGAGGGTAAAATATTTTCACTAAATCATATCCACCTTCGGACCTAAATATGAAAAGCGAAATAGTGGTTACCGACTGCCATGCAATTTGGAAAGATTAAAACGATTGGCAACATATAAACTCGTAATTTCTTAATCTTTAATTATTCCTTGGTCAACTGAAGGATTAGAATTTGGAGAAAAGTCTAACGAAATTAATCCATTGAATGAAGAGATTTTGAGAAATTTGTCTTTAAAATGTATATTTACATATACTAGACACTGCTTACTATTAGAAATAGGGTTATTTGTGGGCAAACTTAAACTAGATTTTAAAAATCTACCCACGTTCGGTGTATTATCATTTCAAACTTTCGATTTTTTTTAGAAAAAAAATTGTCAAGAAATTTATTAACCATATCCAATTTCCTGCTAGAATTTAATAAAAATATTTACATTTTCATAGTTTTATATTCTTGGAGAAATTAAAACACTTCTTGATATAGAAAATATACCCGGGGAAGAAAGCGTTCAAGCTACATTTGTCTTTGCTTTAATAAACATTTTAAAATATATATTTATATCTTACATAATATGGCATGGTTTGGTTTACAGTATACCAACAGTAACCGTGGGTTATTTAGTGCCGACAAGATTTTTATTGCTGGTAATATTTTTTCGAAAAGTATTTCTAGTAATAATGTATTGCTGTTAATAGTTTTCCGTAATCATTTGATTGGTTTGGTTTGTTTTACTGTATATCAACCTCTGTGGGTCATTTAATGCCGGCAAGATTCTTATTGCTGGTAAGATTTTTTTTTTTAAAAATGTATTGCTGGTATTTTTTTTTCTTTTGGTAAGATTTTTGAAAAAAGTGTATTGCTGGTATTTTTTTTCTTAAATTCATTGCTGTTAATAATTTTTTTTTAATATTACTGGTATTAGGGGGCACGGTGGAGTTATAGATAGCGACTCGGATTGAGGAATCTGAGAGCAGAGTTCGAATTCCAGTCGAATCCATTACTTTCACTTATGTGCTCATACCCTTGGGAAACGTATGAAGCCTCTTCTTCACCCCTCGGCTATGGGTAAATAGCAGGGCAGACCGGGTTCTATAGCCTTGGATGGCAACTGGTCTATCGCAAAAAGAAATGGCAACAGACTACGTGGAAAAAATTGCTTCGTCAGTCATGTATCGAAAGATACATTATCGCATGACACATTACTGATTGCTGGTATCAAAATCTATTTTCACACGATTTGAACATGGTTGGGACAGTAACTGGGGCTAAGACCCTGGGAACATCAGCAATTAAAAGGTGTTTACACGATCCTGATCAAAGGCCTTGCTGATGTAGTTTATCGTCTTACCCAAGACGCATAGCATTTTTTGTTGTGAAAGATAAATTAACTGAAAGATTGAAAAAACAATTGTTACCAGTTCGTTAATTAATGTTTAAATTTGTTCCCTATAATGGGACGTGGACACAACTGAAATATGATTAATATTAGTTCGTATGTATGAAAGAAATTTGAAATACTTCAATCAAGTTTATTATCTTGAGCTTAGATGAATAAAGAAAAAAGTTCTTCATGGTTAGCCATACTTTTGACCAGAGCTTGGCAGCCAATCTCTCGTCTGACCTATCTCGATTAGCTCAATGCGGGAAAAAAAACTGGTAAGTCACATTCAATGCCTCAAAATCTAAACTAGTGAACTTTCACCCTTCCCGACCAGATCAGAATTTTCACCAGTCATAATGAACGGATACTCCCTTGAAGTAGCCCTGTTCCTTGAGCTTAATGAAGGTTTCGAGTGGAACTTGTACATACAATCCATTTCCTAAAGATTTTTTTTAAGCATTACGCCCCGAGCAAGGCGTGAAGCCACTAGGATGCAGAGGATTGCAGAAAATTTAGAGCAAGAGCAGGTAGGAGTGATAGAAGAAAGGATGAGAAGGATAGTGGGTAGATCAAGGTAACTGGAGATGTCAATTATCATTACATTTGAATAGTTGGAGATTATAGCTATCAGGGAAACAGTAATTGGGAAGGGTGTTCCATAGGCGAGAGGTGCGAGGTATGAAGCTATTGGAGTAGAAGAGACGGCTGCATTTAAACGTTTCTACAGTGTAAGGGTGAGGGCGGGATGCCAGCCTCGTAGGGCGCTTGAATTTATGGAGTCTGGGGACCATTGAAAGCAGCTCATCGGAGCAATTACCATGAAAGTATTTGTAGAAAAGACAAGTACATCGCACCTCCTATCCTTTACATTTACAAGAGCCAGACCAGCTGCCAAATTATCACTTTCCAGTCTTAGTAGAATCCAAAAGCGTCTCTGCGTCCTCGTCGTAAGCCTCTCACTCCTTTATCAGTATTTACATGGAGAGTGTTCAGACGAACTACACTCACTCGTTCCACCTGGTCTAACCTCAAGGCTAAAACCCGCCATGCTACGCCTTTTTTAGCAAACCACCTTCATTATTCCATTGGTGAGGTGTAAGTTCCACTCGCGCAGCTTCTTCCCAAGAACGACTGCCTTGTGGAACCGACTCTCAAGTGGTTGCTTCCACGATCATCCCAATCTTAGTCTGCTCACCTCTACGGTTAACCTCTGAAATTCAGTACCTCGAGTGGCACCCGGGCCTTGTACAAGAAGAACACTTCAAAAAGTATTATTGCAAAACTTTAAACAAGTATTTCGTGAGCGCCTGGCTATCCTGTGTTAATGTTTTGTAAGTTTGTAGTTTTTCTATAATCTTTCAAATACGCGAAAATATAAACTTGAATTTGATAATTACTGGTACGAGTTAGTTAATAACTGATTTTCTAGAAAAAAAACAAAAAACAAACAAAAAAACAAAAAAACAAACAAAAAACAAACAAAAACCCCAAAAAACAAAAAAAAACAAAAAACAAAAAACCCAAAAAACAAAAAAAACCCAAAAAACAAAAAAACACCAAAAAACAAAAAAACACCAAAAAACAAAACAAAAAAACCCCTCAAAAACAAAACAAAAAAACCCCCCCAAAACAAAACAAAAAACCAAAACCAACAAAAAACCAACAAAAAAACAAAAACCAACAAAAAACCAAAACAACCCCCGCCTCCACCCCCAAAAAAAACAAACAAAAGGGAAGGGTTTATAATTTTTGAATATCTCGTTTCCAGTTAGATACATTTTCTCGGTGGATTACTGAAAGAATTTTTCTCCGTCGGGCGAACGAAAGGAGTTTTAACGCCAACTTCTCATAAAATAATAAAAGATAACATCAAACTGTAGTTGCTTTGAAAAAAAGAAAAATGATTTTGATTCAAGAAAAACCTGAAGGAAACATGCTTAGAAACAAATGCAGCAGATGTTTGTGTTAGCCTTTGGCTGTCTGCAAAGCAGTAACCATCGATCGTTGCGCAGGACATTTTGACCGGAGGCACTGAGGTATATCCGTGCCCACCGCCCGTCTCGACACACCAACAGCGTTGCTTTTTTTATGACTGATTCTTTTATTATCTGTACTTTGTCAGTTAAATTTATGAGGTTTTAATATTTAAACCAATGAATCATTCTAAATGAATTAGAAAATTAAAAAAACAAACAAACTGGTATTGAGATTATTTTGTGATAAAGAGGTTCATTTATAAATTCTCAAAAAGAAAAAGTGTACATATCATCATCAGAGAAAGAGACAGACAGACAGACAGAGACAGACAGACACACAGACAGAGAGACACACAGACAGAGAGACACACAGTCAGAGAGGAAGGGAGAGAGAGACAGAGAGAGGGAGGGAGAGAGAGACAGAGAGAGGGAGGGAGAGAGAGACAGAGAGAGGGAGGGAGAGAGAGACAGGGAGAGGGAGACAGAGAGAGACAGGGAGAGAGAGACAGAGAGAGGGAGGGAGAGAGACAGAGAGAGGGAGGGAGAGAGACAGAGAGAGGGAGGGAGAGAGAGAACATTCAATGTTATGTTGTATTCTAGTATTTTACATTACGTGTACAGCAATAAAGCCATAGGAAAAAAATCATGCTGGCTAGGAAAAATGTCACAAATTGCTTTTGCGAGTGACATCTTTGGTATTAATGAACCCATTGTAGCAAATTTTTTTAACTACCGTCAATAATTTCATTGGCGAGAAGCGTAAAAATACTTTTTGACTAAATCCATGTATTTTTGATCCACAACGGTACTGACATCTGAGATTTCCACTATTCACGTTGTCTTCAGGTATACTAACATAGTATAGAGAAGAACACGGTTGTAGGAGCGTGGGTTGAAAACCTAATTGACTTGGGTGTGATGGAGTTGTTCTAGAGCTGTGAAATATTTCAGGCATTAATTTCAACTCTTATTAATAAATGTATTTTCTATTTCCAGGTAAACTAACACCTGCCTGTTCACAGAAAAGGCTTAAAAGGTAACGAAAAGCGACATGTCTTGAAAATGGACAAAATTTGGCAAACTCCCAAAGACATTCTTGCTGATATAGTTGCTACATTAAAGGATGACGCTCTAGTGTAGGCAGTTGAATTTATGTGGGAAAGGGAGAATCTTGAAGATGACCCAATGTCTGGAGGTTCTGCAGTGACACGACCAAAGAAAACAATGTGTTCACCACATGGTGAGGGATGATAAGCTATTGACTATAAAATAAATAGCCAATGCTATTAGCATATTCCATGAGAGAGTTAAGAATATTATGCACAATGAAGTTGGCATGACGAGGGATTCTGCTTGATGCGTTCCCCATCTGACCGATAATCAAGAACGTATCAGCTGATCACATCAAGGTAAAATCTGACTTTGTCCAAGGTAGATTCA